AGAGATATATTTAAGATGGATAGTGTTCAAACCTTTCAAAGACCTTCAGAATATGGCATTAAAAATGGCTTAGGGTTTTGCATGACTTGAGACACAACTGCTCCTGGCAACGCCAATTACTTCAGAGAAGAAGATGGGTATCAAAGAAACTCGTTATGGAGCTTGCCTTTGACATGGCAGAAATAGCCATTTGGGTAAGAAACTGCTCTCGCCTGGACTGTTTGACTGTATGCTGTATAAGGTGGACATGCAGGACCCACAGGAAAGTGACTGTTGAACTTACCCAAGATGGACAAGTACTGCGGGGTTCCTAATTCATGGAAGAGTCTGACAAACATTCTACAGGATACACACACACACACACACACACACACACACACACACACACACACACACACACATGACAAACTGCTAACACAGGCAGCCAGTTTAAAATTTCCTGCTTCACTGAGATGTCTGTCAGACACACTGTGACCTATCAGCCAAAGATGGATGCCCCAACATTAGAGAAACTTCAGATGACTGACCAGGCAGCGAGACGTCTCTGTCAATTCTAGAATTTATATATTATCCTTTTGTGGTCTTTGATGGAGTTGAAGATAGCTAACTATGGTTATGGTTTTTGTAGGCATTTCGACAGACTGGATGGGACAGGTATTCTGGCACTCGGGAGTCACAGAATACTGAGTGTTACACAGCTCAGATGGAAAGGTATCTTGGAGCTCGGGAGCTAAGGACCACCACAGGCCGCAGTAAGAATAGCAGCTTACAGCCCTGCCTCAGGAAAAGGCTTCCCAAGTGTATCCGCTCTGCTCCAGAAGGAGAGGGTCTTCTAGCTGGGGATGTATGCCCAGTGTAGCAGTTTTGCTCCAGCAGGAGGTTTCCCAGGCGGAGTTGCTACAGTGAGGGTAAAGTTGCTACAATTCCATTCTGCTCCCAGGAGAATGGGGAGTGGAGTCTCGAGTTCAAAACTCCACTCTGCCAGTTACAGCCCTGCTTGCTCTGCTTTGCCCAGGGTCGTCTCTGCTTCGCAGTAAAAGAAGGTCTTCACCCAAAGCTCATCGAAGGGGTTTATTGGGAGGGAAGAATCCAGGAGAGTGGCTGCCCTCTGCCACAGTGGCAGAGGACAACTGGGTAGCAGGAACAAGGTTTATATAGGGATTTTTAGGGGGCAGAGTTTTCCAAGGTGGAGATTGGTCAGATTTCAATCCCTGAGCTTAGGTCTCCTGCTCAGAGATTGGTTAGTTTTCTACACAGGGTTAGGGTCAGACTTGGCTCTGGTTTCAGGGCCAAAGTTTGTTTCTTTGGCACTGGTTTTGGGGTCAGGGTACATTTCTTTGGTTCTGGTTGCAGGGCCAAAGTGTGCTTCCTTGACTCTGCTCAGGGTTTGTTTCCTTGGCTGGACCCTTTTCCCTACAATTTTCCTTAGTTACATATAAGACTTTAGGATAGATGATAAAATATTTTCTTTAAATCTTGCTAAATGTTAATGGACTAAATTATGTAACTATAGTTACAATAACGATAAATATAGTTAACTATATTGATAACTGTTTGCTATATATAATTTCAATATGTTAAAGTTAAAACCTTTCTTTATATTTAGGCAGAAAAGAGATGATGGAGTTGTCCTTCTGTATATGTTTATCTTACTGTTGGCCAATAGGGTAGCAAGATAGGTGGGTCTAGGAGATGAGGAGAATTCTGGGAGGTGTAGGCAGAGAGAGTCGTCATGTGATCCTGGGATGAGAGGACGCAAGTCAGGCGTTCTCCAGTAAGATAAGACCATTAGTAGTTATGGGTTGACAATTAAAACAGAGCTAGCCAATAAAAAGCCTAAGTCATTAGCCAACAGTTTCATAACTAATGTTAAGTCTTGGGGCTGACACAGCTGTGGGACCAGGCTGGCAGGAGGAACCATCAGTAACAGACAGGTCTTACTATGAAGCCCCAGCTTGCCTCTAACTTTCAATATGGATCATGTTGGCCTTGAACTCATAGAGATCCATTTGCCTCTCTGTTATGGAATATTATTTTAACTGCGTAAAGGCGTGTTACATTTGCTTTTGCTGCTTTTGTTAATGATGCAAAGGCATGCCACATTTGTTTGATAAATAAAATTAACCTGGGGTCAGGAGGCTGAGTTGGCAACCAGCTGGCAGGAAGTGGTGGGGAGGAACTAAGTGTAGGGAGTGTTCTTTAGTGGGGGCTGAACAGAAGGATGGCCTTTTTTCTTTTTCAGAAGGAGCAAGAAATGGAGAAGGAGAGCACACCAGGGGCCAGCCACCCAAATACACAACCAGCCACGAAGTAAGAAGGAAAGAATAGAATAGAATATAGAGAAAGGTAAAAGTCAACAGGTAAAAGGCAATCAAGATAATATAAGCCAAGCTAAGGTTGGACATTCATAAGAAAGAGTAAGTTTCCTTACATTTATTTGAGAGCTGGTGGCAGGTATTTATAGAGCAAAGAGAAAAAAACAAACAAACAAAAACCAACTGACTTCTGGGTGCTGGGATTAAAGACATACACCACTGTACCCAGCTGGAGACACCTCCCTCCTGCCATAGACACACAGGACTGATTGCACCTTTACAGTCCTACCTGGGAGGTGAGATATAAACAGGATGTTTAATTATATCTGTAAATTTTTGGGTACGTGGATTATAAGAACCATCTTTTGTTGGTTGTGTGCTAACACAAAGGTATCTTGCTTTTGTTTGTAAGAAAAAAGTCTGTTTATCCCATTTAAAAAAGTCAAGTTACCATAAAATACGATACTCTCTTAGGGCTTCTGCCTTCCACAAACACAGTGTACTTGTGGGAGCTTGTTCCTAAAAGCTTTATTGGTTTAATACATTTCCTAAAGAACCATTTTTGGACTACATCATTTTTGCCCTATGTTTGTTTCCTGTTTAATTACGCTTTATTCTCAGCTTTCTTCTGTTTTCATTTTCGACTTTCGGGCTTATACTCCCATCCTTCCTACTCAATATGGACAATTGTATGTACAATCTCACTTGCCCATTAAGAAGAACTTTTGCTATGGCTCACCAACTTCAGAATACAGCATTTTCTATAACCTTCCACTTGTTGCCATTTCTCTATTTAATTTTTACACTTAGGGGGACTTTATAGCCACCTTGGTTTGACATGTTGATTAGTTACACTATGATCAGAGAAAGTATTTTGTATGACTCTGAGTTTGTTGAGCTGTCTAAGGACACAATGAGAGATCAAGTATAGTAAACAGCCTCATGTATACTTGTAAAAGAATGTCTGTTGTGGTCCTGGATGCAGACAGTCATTTTATATGCCGAACACATGGATCACCTTTGCCTGCTTATCTTACCATTTCCTGAGAAAGGCCTTCAGTTAGTCTAGCAGTGATAAATTCCCCAGAGTTTGTTTTTTTCCAGCTATCTTTATTCTCTTTTCATTGCTGAAGGATTCTTTTTGTGTGTGGGGGGGTGTATAAAGATTTGGCCAGTGGTTGCTTATTTCAGCTCTTCAAAGATTCTGTTTTCTTCTGTTTTTCTCCTTTCTGTTGGTAAGTTGGTTTTAACACCCGTTCTTGAGAGAAGTCAGTGTTCTGCCTTGTAATACTTATTACTATATAACAAATCACCCTAAAACACACTTGAAATGCAGATGGTGGTCAGTTTCTGTGGATGAGAACTCAACAGATACAGTTCTGCTGGTGCTCTGGCTCTGTGATAAAGATAGGCACTGAAAGTTGGAATGGAAGGGCCAGCCCCATACTTATCCACAGTGCAGAGGCATCTTTGCAAGAGCAAGTGAAGACTCAGTCTTTGTAAATATAACCACACACATGACACTTTATTGTTAGACAGAAGCGAGTGAGCTGGTGAGATCTCAGGGTGCTGGCGTCACAGAAGGCAGCTTCTCAGAGGCAGGGTCACTGAGAGTCATAGCAAGAGTTGAAGAGATGTCTACCCTCTTCTCTGAAGCTTTGTAGTTGATGTCTTTGATGCAGATTTTCAATAGTTTTATAATGCATGTTCCCCTTTGATTTATATTGTTCCATGTTCATTGACATTTTAAAAAAATTCTGTAGCTTTGTGTTTATTTCCTATGTTTCAGAAACTCTTGGCTAGCACACCTTCCAAACACTTCTGCTCCATGGTAGCAAACCTTTGAAGGGTGCTACCTTCTATTAAAGTAAAAAAAAGTGTGTGCTATGGATGTGGCTCAATGGCACAGCGTTTGCCTGGCATGGGAGAGGCTCCATGTTCTATCTCTAATTTAGTTTTGAAGAAATGTGGGTGGGGAGTGCATTCGCCACTGACAGCAGGAATGGTTTCTCCTAAAGTCTCTCTTTTGGCTTATAAATGCCTGTCTTCTCTCTTAGTACAGTATTTTCTCTGAAGCTGTGCCCAAATATTTTTTTGGTAAGGGTATGAAGTTTTATGAGATCAGAGCCCACCAAAATATCAATTATATTACCTTAATGATCTTTTTAAAGATCTCTAAGTGAGATCACATTCCAAAGTACTGGAGGTTAAGATTTTGGTGCATATATTTGATGGGAGGCATGAACACAACTCAGTCTATAATACCTGCCAAAATGCCCTTTTACTCATAAACATGCTTATCTTGAATTGCTCAAAATAATGTCTCCAAAAAAGGTAAAAACCATGCTTTTACCCCCAAACCCTGCCAAAGCTGTAAACATGTTGACCCTGTTAGGGTCAATGTGTTACTTCTGAAAGCTTTGTTTATACATGTTGAGATAAAATACAGTCTCATGTGCTCTCCTTTCAAATTGTAAAGAATTCCCATGATGTAATGGAGAGAAAGCCTGTGGTGTAATTATACACAATAATGCAGAGAGAGAGAGCAGAATGAGTTTACTCATGCCTACTCAGTGAGGCATAAGCCTGTCTATCAGACTGAGCATGCATCACTATATCTCTCTATTGAGTCAGAAAGGCTGAGCACACACGGCATGCTGGCCATATGGGACTCCAACCCTTGTTAGAGATGGGCAAGAATCTGCAAGAGGTGGCCAGTATCTACTAGGAAAGATGTTTCACCAGAATCATCCAGCTGAATAATGTCTAATTATCTTCAGGAAGCTGAGTAGCCAACTCAGGGAGTCAACTTCAGGGCCCAATCTGTCCATATTTTGCTAATACTCTGTCTTTGTTTTTAATATAAATACTTTTTCTGAGAAGACCTTTAATCATGTATCATCCCTGACTTCACATACAGGCAAACTAAAATACATAGAATGTTACATGTATGAATATGGTGAGTGAGATCATTAAAATTCTTTTGATGAGGAACCTGTAAGAAAAAACAATCTTACACATGTTCAGTGTGGGCTGGTCTGAGATGTGGGCCATGGTTCAGGTCTCTTCCTAGGTTGTCCACATGATCTCTAGAAGGCTGTGCTACATCATAACCTGTATGTGAAGCCAGTAACTCCTAACATGTATTTCCAGTCCTATCTAGCTTTGTGAATTCAAGTCTTCTATCTACGTCCAGTTGGATGTCTAAAAACAAAAGGGAAGAATGGATGCTGTGACCCAAAGTAAGTACACTAGTAAGAATTATTCTTTACTCTATTTGAGTGAATGTAAAGCCATACATTTAGCTCAACAAAAGCCTGCATGTTATTCTTGGTTACTCCATCCACTCTCACAATAAGCCCACAAGCAGATCCTAAGGGCTCTACCTCCAACATATGCCAACTTAACTCTATTTCCACTGACGTCATGCAGGTGTAAGTCACTGCCATCGCTATAAGCTTCCTGTTTGGCACTACCTATCTTCCTTCCTTCTCTCCATTGTATTTCCCACATAAAAGCAAAGGTAGTCATTTATAACTGTGGACTCAATCTTTGCATTTGGAAAAAAGATTACACATTTTTAATGCACATCAAATAAAGTCAAATTCCTCCCAGGGTCTTGCAGAGCAGGCATATCTAACCCTGTGTACCCCATGACCAATCTAACTCCATTTTCCCTTTGGATCTGGGTCCTAGCACCACTTTTGGTGCTTATCAAAGGCAGTGATCCAATTCCATCCAGCAGGATGTTGCTCCATCATCTTCCAGGGCCTACTTCAGTTCTTTTCAGGCTAGACCCTTTTTAGCTCTCTGGCCTCTGTACACATGGACTAAACTTGGAAGGCACACCCCATTACCATCAGCTTTATTTTCTTCCTGCAGTTAATACTGTTCCTGTTTCACTGTGTGTTCACGTGTTAGAAGAATTCCTGTTACCTCATCAGAATGCAGCTTCATGAGGGTAGGGATCATGGCTGTCCTGCTTACTGTTCTAGCTCTAGCATCTGGTATTCTGAGGGGAAATGCAGGCTCATGTAGTCAAGTACTTTACTCCAGGCTACACAGCTAGCAAAAAGTGAGGCTGAGAGTTGGACTTAGGTTTCGTAACTGTGAAATCTACAATCTTCAGTTTCCTTTGTGCTGTGTCTTAGTCAGTGCTGCAGCCTATTTTGCCACATTTAATTTCCATGCTTCCAGGAAAAGCAGTCACATGATTTTCTCACTTATTCTTGTCCATTTAACTATACCGATTAGTTGTTAAACATCTACGGCTGTGTGACTTGGGGAGATTTCCTAACTACTCTTGACTCAACTTACTATTATTAAGTATTCACTTCTACAGATCACCTGTTCCCAACCATAAGCGCTCCGGTGAGGGGGTGATACTGTGAACCAGGTTTGCAGTGATGAGGAAGAATCACAGACAGCATACAGAATCTGCATTAGTGTCTGCTGATGACAAAGTAGGACCCTAGCTCCCATCCTGAATCCACATTATAACAGGGTACCCAAGCTCCTGCTTTAGTGATGGAGAGTGAGCATCAATCAAGCTTGAGCAAACAAAGAATGCAAATCATGCCTTTAAAATAGAGAAACAACGAGGTTTTAGTTAGAGTAAGAATACAGGTTGGATGTGGTGGCACATGCCTTCAGTCCTAGTACCCACAGGTAGACCTGTGAGTTCCAGGCCAGTCTAATTTACACAGAGAGTTCTAGGCCAGTCATGGCTATACAGTGAGACCCAGTCTCAAAAAAAGAATTATGAAAAACTCAAAAAAATGTATCCATTCTTAAGGATTTTCTCTGGTTATGAGAAAAGTCTGACAGTGTGATGGAGTCAATATTAGAGTCATTACATGTACACAAAAGGCCTAACTTAAATTCATATATAATGTAGACAACAAATCAAATTCATATTGTAAAATAGGATGTAGTAGTTGATCTAAAAATAAGTTATGTAAAAATGTGTAAGGGAGAGGAGAACAAGCATTGTGCCATAGGAAAAAGACCCCGAAACTTTGAAAACAAGGTTCTAGGCCAATGGAACTGAAGTCATCAGAACCTTGGACAGCACCGAGCAGGCTTTAGGCTCCCTGAAAGGGCTGTATGAGATGCTAAATTTATATTTTATCTTCACAGACTCTTTCTCAGCTTCTCTGCTTCTAAACACTCGTCTTATTTTCACTGCTGCACATAATAAGAGTTTATTATGTGCAGAACCTATGATGATGGGATAATTTTCCTGTCTGGCTGACATCTTTTAAGCTTTCTACAATAGAAAGGAAAAGACAGTAAAATAAATAAGTAAATAAATGAAAAACATGCAATTTAAATTTAAGGTGGAGTTATGAATCATTCAAAGGGGAACAGACTTAAGGCACACAGAGGTAGACATCTGATTTGAACCTTGCTAACTAACCAGCAGTCCTCCTTATACCCTAATCATTTTTCTGCATCTCTTTATGTAAGAGTGTGTTCTAGTGGTTCTCACAGTATCATGGTTGGATTCTGAGTTACCACAAGATATGCACCTTGACATTTGTTTTTACATGATTCCACAGTTTTAAAGTCTTCCCTATTGTTGGGTATGACAAAAGAACCACTCTGTACAAACCCTTAGCCTTACTACCAAGCCAAGAATCCTTTATTTTCTATCTGTGAAATGAAGTAGGCCAAAAGCTTTGTCAACTTGCTCTTGAAAACAATATAGTCACAAAACTCACTGTGACTATTCTGTATCTTTACAAATTTTGTGGGGCTGCCCCGTTTCCCACCCCTACAAAGGGCTGATTGAGGTGGCAAATTAATCCTCTACAGCGTGTAAAACAAGGTTCTGGGAAGCCCCAGGCCCACTGGTAGAGCACAGGGAAGCTGTTGTGTTCAATCCTTCATCTCCAGGGAATCAAAAGGGGCCACAATGCAGTCATCAGCATGTTTTCACTCTGCAAGACCCACACTTCCTATTTAGAGCACACAGCCATACTCCATTCTGCATTCTCACAAGGCTCCTTTTATTTATTTGTATTTGTTATTATATGGTGCATACCGACATGTTTGTGTGACTCCACTGGTGTGTACACACCCATTGAGAGGAAAAAAGAATGTCCATTGTAAACTTGTTAAAAGGAGAAAGGGACCCCCACTGTTTTCCCTTTGGCCAGACCTCTATGGAGAAAGGATTTTAACTCTTGATGCCCCAGAAGGGAATGGCTTCTTTGTGTATTACATTTTGCAATGGCTGAATATCACAAATGCATCTTAACTACCACAGGCCTAGAATCTGATATTTCTTCAGTTCCACAGCTTTCACCAGACAATGAACTATGTATGGGGAAACTGCAATTTAATTAATAGCTCAAGCTGTTCTTACAAAGCAAAGGAAGCATAGCCATGAAGAAACTTAAAAGGACTCAATTTTAGAATAGTATTTTTGTGAAGCTTTTGGTTGGGTCTTCCCTGGTTTTATTTCAGAAGTATAAATATGAACAAGGTGATGTGTCTCGGTATTTTAGTTTTGAACATGTTTGTTCACAAAAATAATGCTAATAAGCACCCACAACATGAACCACTAGCTCATAGTGGTTTTATAAGTGACGCAGGTAGCTACACGGGATCTAGTGCCTCCATAGCCAAGTTCTACCTAGTATAAAATATAACAAAAGCTAGCTAGATGCCAGGACACTCTTGCTCTTCCACATTACATTTGTACTTATGGCAACAAAGCTAAAACTGTGCGGTCTTTTGTGACAGCCACGCTTTTAAGTGGAAGATGCTATGGACGTTCCTTTCACAGAGGCACTGCACACTAAACAGAGAACAAGTATTCCCTTCTGTGTCAGAGAGGTATGAATATGGGCAAAATTTAAGCATCTGCCCTTTTATGGAATTCCTAACTCCAAGTCAACCTGGGATGCAAACAGTTAAGGGCCACATGTTCTTTCACCGGTCCTCACTTTTTTCTAGCTTCCAGAGGACAGGGCTCAGTGACAACACAGTGCATGAAATGAAGAGGGAGGGTTCTCAAATTAATTAACTGGAAATGAGTCATGTCAATGTTTTGGAAAGGCAGAAGGGGAGAAAAGAGATTGGTAGAATTAATCACAGTGAGAAACTTACTTCAAGTGCCCGCCAGAGTTCAGAAACCCAATGAAAAGCAGAGAATCAAAGGAATGAAGCATACTTGCCATCTGAAAGGATGCACAGGATCCAATCAAGGGTCCCAGTCTTTGCCAAGTAAGGGCTATGCCCTCAAAAATGTTTATTATCCACTACAACAGTAAGCACAAGTATATGACTGGAAAGCGCGCTCTACCCAAGGGGACAAAGGTGAGGCCAAGTTACACTTACTGCTAAGAAAAAAAGAAACGTCCACTTGTAGCTTACACACATTGAACTCTAAAGGACTGAGAGATTCCCACATCTGTGCTCTACATTTCCAATACTTGAGATTTCATATACTGCAGAGATGAGAGATCCATGAGATGGAATCTGGACATGTTCAGATGAAGAGGTCACTCACTAAGGAAAAAACAAAATAACAGACACAGAGTTATAGCTATAGCACATCTATTTAAAGTAACCGCAAAAGGGAAAATACAGAGCTTTGTTTACGTCATGATCATGGGGAACTGTTTTATACACGCAACAGCATACAAAAACTGTAGTAAATGTTGCTACTTTAAAAGGAAGCCTAGTTCTGCTCAGGAATCTGTTTATATCATGTATGTTTCAGAATGTTTTTGTATGTCATGATCTGCGTGAGTTGTAACTTTAAGCAAATGGCATCACAAAGCCTGGCCAAAAAGTTCTTTGCAACATTATTCAGTGCTGCCTGGTAATTGTGTCAGAGAGCAACTTCTCCCTGTTTTCTATGTTCCCTATAACGACCTCTCACTTCCAGGGTTAGGGACGCAGGGACAGCCTCAGTGAGAGACTGGAGGAGAATAGTTTATATAAAAGTACTTACAGGTGGGGGGATGTCATTATTAGACTTCAGAATCAGTTTCTCCCCACTCTTTTCAACTTCAAAACCCATTTTCTTCAGCAGAGATGCGTCTGCCAAGCCCTGCTCCTCCATTTTTGCAATGAAATCTTGGTTTTGGCTGTTGTCTTCAGTGAGGTTTCGCACAGCATACACCACCCACTGCATCATAACTGGAGCCGGAGTGAAGGAATTTAACAGCATACTTCCCCATTTCTGTAACTCACATGACTGTCAGAGGTAAACAGTGGGGAGTACAAGAATACTATCAGTTTTCGAGATGCTTAAAGAATAGAAATATGCACTCAAAGGGGAAATCATTTCAAAGGCTGTAAAAGTGCACAGGAGCTTGTGTCCAGCATGTGACTCAGAAACTGGCCCCAGAGAACAGCTCACTAAGTGTCTGATGAACAAGATCATGAACACACACATACACAGTGATGAGGGGCAAAGACCCAGAGGTTTATGAACACAGCAGTACCCATATGCACACTTCTCGGTGTTATGTCAAGTCACTAGGGAAGGACAAGAGGAGCTCTGCAGACAAGTTAGAGGTGCTGGGAAAAAAAATTCAGACAGGAAACTAGTTCTGTTTAAAGTGCAGTTATCAGTAAGAATGGTTTCCTAGGAGTCACCATGGAATTTCTCTCATTCAGTATTTCAGAGACAAAGCCTCAGCTGTGAAGGATTTGCTAGGTTCAGTGTGAAACACTCATGCTCTGAAAGCACATGACCCTCCCTGCCTCCCCATGCCCAGGCTCTCAAATGAAATGCCCTGCTTGGTGTCCCCTCATCAGAATGAAAACGATGGAAACTTGGGGTCACATCACTGCATTATTCATGATGATTTAGGTGACAGAAAACCTGAAAGTCGCTGCTATACAACATCCTGTAAGGCAGAGACTACCAAGGATAGGCTTTTTGTTTAGGTCTTCACTCTGGTTCAGAGGGAGCCATGGGAGCCTAGGCTAGTATAAATATATTCCCAAAGAAACAGGCCTATCTGCTCACAATCAATAGAGTACCAAAATAATCAAATCCAGAGGGCTGGGGTTCAGCACCGTGGTCCAGCACAGATATAGCACAACATAGCATTCATTGGGTCATGGTTTTGGTCCCTAGCACACACACAAAAGGAAGGATCCTTTTCCTGATAGCCATTAGATACACCACTCAGGCAGTTCTAAAGGCAGACGGGTGCACCCGACTCTAAAAGGCATCAGACCAAGCTTCCGATCCTGACCTGTACTTCCCTGGCAAGAGGACTGGTTCTGAGACATTTCTAGACTTCCAATCAGAACTGAAACCCAAGAGAAGCTGTCAACAGTAATAAGGGTGGGGGCTCTTCTTGTAGCACTTAAAAACAAACAAACAAACAAAAAAACAAACGGTTTCTCTCTAGTTCCATGACCTCAAACAAAATAAAAACTTGAATCTATTCACTAGGAAGAATCCAAGCATTAAAAGAAGAGGTACTATATGATCAAGGGGGTATTTATGAGGTTTTACAAGGTTGTGCCTTGTGCCATCCTAGCCTTTGTAACTCAACTCTGGTTCATAATCCTGTCCAGCCCTTCTACACTACCTCAGGTCAGCTCTCCTTCTGATGGTGACCCTTTCTCTGGCTGGCCTCATGTCTGTGGGACTATGGGGCCTGGACAGAGCCTAGCACAGAGAAGATTCCTACTTAGCAGCCTTGAATGAATGGGTGAACCATTTGTTGGTAGTTGAAGGTTTATCACTGAAACCACTTGAGGCTGAGTGTTTCCGATGGCACAGAACAGAAGCGGCACTTGCTGGCGGATGTTGAATCCATACTTATCACCCCTGGTTGGAGACTGTTTTCACCTGGTAATCTGTCTGCCATCCATCATGACAAGGCCCAGCTTCTTCAAAACACTCTGCCTCTTTTCTGAAAACCAAATCCACACAAGTACTGAAATAAAACCCAATTTTGCATTTCTCCCCTCTCCACGGTCATTAGGTCTTTCTCTGTGCCATCAGAGCAAGTAAAAATAACATTTGTGGGTGCCAGACACTTCTAACACAAGAAGTAATTTCCGAACAAATTATTTTCTGTGACTCTTTCTACACCTAAGGTGACACTATCATTACACAAACCTATCCTTTCACTTTTTATAGAAAAGGGGAAGCAGTAATTATGATGAGAAGTAACTAAAGAAGCAAGCATTTGAGGCATAAACTCAAAAAGTCAATGTGGAAGACCGGAAGTGGGACTGGCTCACAGATGAGACTACGTAGCTGAAATGACAGAGGTAAAACATTTTCTCCTTTCTGGAACTTTCTAGCTATTAATGATAAATGACCTCGAACAAATTTGAGGTTGCCAAGATTTTTCTAAGAGCTCCTGCAATCAAAGGGCTGGGTGGCTCAGTGTTGACACTCACACTGTCACTACCAGTTGCAAACACAGATTCTCTGGAGGAAGATATCATGACTCCTAGTTATCAGGTTGGCTCCACTTTGGGGAGAGCCAATGGCCCTGCCCTTCTCTTGTTGGGGGACCTCTTGCCTTTTAGACCTCAACCACATCGTACCATCTGTCTTCTTATGCCTGTGTCCTTGCCTGCTTGTGCTCCCCCTCCCCTCTCCCTGCTTTCTTTTTCAGCAGCCATTCTTAGGGGAGTCCCAGGTACTGTTGAGAGCCTTCCAGGGACCTCACTACTCTTCAACACCAGTGTAAACTAAGGCTGTTACAGGCACCCACTTTTAGTAACACTTCTCACATTGCACTGTATAAAGGGCAGGTGCCATACCTAATTCACTTTTATGTCTCCAGCACCCAGTCTGGCCCCTAGTGTCCAGAACAGCATCTAATGGTTGAAACTGTGCAAGCTCCCACTACTTGTATGTATTTCTGTCTACCCTAGTAACTGTAAGCTTCTCAAACATTCTTGGTTTCTTATTCATCTGTCTTTGCCCTTTATCCTAGCACAGTGCAGGAAAAATAATAGCTGAATGTGTAAAGGCAACTGCATCCTCTCTAGTGCCACAAAGGTAGATCCATGATGGCACTGAAGTGACCCCCATACCAGTAATGTTCTGCCCTTCCATTCCAGTGGTTTCCTGAATCATGGCTTTGGAGGTCTTAGGTTCCAGGACAGCAAACTCAACACAAATGCAAGCCAGGCAAGGATGTTGGATTGTGTAAACAAAAGGGCCAAGACGACCAAAGACCAGCAGAATTCCATGGAAAGTTGATTTCAAATACATTCATCTCAGAGCAGGGCTAGGAATACTGTGAGCATGGTGATTTATCATCAACTCACCCCTAAGTGTTTGGAAGCTAAATTACATACAAGAAAAAACAAAAACAGCTGGTGTGATGCCTACTGCCTGTAAAAGGAAAAGGCAGCTCTGCAGAAGACTGGGTATGACGAGAGCTCTCTAGATGAAGGGCTGCAGCTGGGCTTCAGACACACCTCTCCAGGACACAACACAATAGAACCAACAATCTTAGAGAAGAGGTCTTCAGAGTCAAGCAGCAAAGGCATGTTTGTCTTTTCCAAAATTGGTAGTGAAAGTGCCAAGACGTGGGAGTGAAGGCCATGAAGGGAGAGCTACAGTCACAAGAACACACTGGAACCAACACCTCAGCTCCTGGGAAGTCAGAAATAAATGACTAATCGCCACCAGCACTTGTCACTTAACGGTGTAGTTAATGTTTTTTCATGTTAGCAGCGGCACCAATCAGCTTTCCTAGGATTCTGTAAAGCTCAGAGTCCTGCACACATTTTCAGGCAGACAAGAAGAAAGCACCCCTCCCTCTAAGGGAGCACCAGCAGCTGACGGTGCTGCCCATCAGCAGAACACACACTGCCTAAAGGTCCTTTGGACTGTTTCTACTCAAGTGAGAACATCCGGGCACTACTGTCCAGGGTTTCATACTACCCACAAATTTCTAAAGTTTATTTTTATTAGGTATTCAGGCTCTAATTTTTTTAACTTAACTTTTAAACTCACATACCAAAGACATAAGATTATTCATATTTTGGGGCTCCATGTGACATTTCAACACACACACACACACACACACACACACTGCAATGTGCACACCTATTTCATCCAATAATTTTATTATTAGTTTACCTACTAATAATAGTGTGTGTGCTCATGCACAGGGGGCATGCATGCCATGTTTGTAGAGGTCAGAGGACAGCTCTGTGGACACAGTCAGGTCTCTCCATACACCTTTACATGGTTCTGGGGCATAAACTCAGGTTGACAGGCTTGCAGACCAAGTGCCTTTACTTTCATGGAGCCATCTTGCTGACCCTCTTTACCCTTTTTAAAATTTGTATGTATGCATGGTGTGTGAGTGCACATGGTGTGTGTGTGTGTGTGTGTGTGCACGCGCGCACGTGCGTGTGTCTGTGTGTGCTGGGGACCAAGTGTGCTCTTGGGCATGTATGAAGGTCACCACTGGAGCTCTTCTGCAGTACACTCTGGTGTTGTGACTTAGGCCACAGAGACCACAGTGGGAATTAGCACAATGCTGCTGCTGCTGTACCACGAAGGGGAGGAGGAGGAGAATGAGAACACCTATTTTACCTGACTATTCTGTGGGCCTATGCTCAGTGGAGTTAGTTCTCTCTTCACTTCAATGTGGGTTCTGGGATCAAACTGAGGTTGCCAGGCTTGCAAGCACCTTTACTCATTAAGTGATGTTACTGTTCCTTTACTGTGAAAACACTCAACATCCTTTCTCCCAGAGTTTTAAAATTTAAAGTACACTGTTATTAACTAGTCACCCTACTGTGCCATAGCACCCGAACTTCTTATTCCTATCTGACCATAACTTAGTACTTATAGATGACAAAAAGAAAGTATTCTTTCAGAAGATTGGAATTGCAAAGAAAAACACTGTAAAACACAATCTTAAGAGCTGTCTGATCCGTAGCCCTGAGTCATGAATATGTATAGGCTCCTTGTTAGTGCGCTGTGAAAGGCTGGAGCCTGTGTAGTCAGTGCAGAACTAGACAGTCTTAAGTGTCACAAGGGAGATTAAAACAGGTCCCAGTTAATATTCACATTGCCCTCTTGTTCCCTCTGTAAAGGGACAGGGAACAAGAAAGAGTGGGGGAGAAAATTCAACATCTTCTAAAGTCTCTAATCCTACCAACTCTTGAAGTCCTCTATTGTATGCTTAGCTCCAGAGAGAGCGCTTCTACTGTTTCCATAGCTACTACAAATAGAAGGCATGAGCCTGTTTGTCGCAAAACTGCCTTGAAAGGGCCGCAATCAGCACTGGGGCTCTTCTGCAGAACACTCTGGTGCTGTGACCTAGGCCATAGAGACCACAGCACAGTTAGCACCATGCTGCTGCATCAGGAAGGAGGGGGAACTGAGAACACCTGTGCTAGCTGGTACTGGTGGGTCCCTGCAGCCTGGAGCTGTGAACAGGTTAGGTGACTCAGTATTAGTGGGCAGAAAATTGTAGGGACAACTTCACAAGCAGCTGAGTACCAACAACTTATGTACAAGTCAACTTTAAAGTATAATCAACTGAGTTAAAATGTTGCCTGTTAAGATAGACTTCATCTAGGCATAATGTTTCTAGGAATCAAACCCAACAGACTTCAAGTCTCGGAGCCTACTGAGAATGAGGGCTGGCAAATAACTGGCAAGAAATAGTAAACAGTTTTATATATTTCATTTAATTATATACTTCATATAACTCACCTACACAGTATGTTGAAAAGTTATTTTAGACAGCGAGCAAGTAAAGGAATGGGATTTATATGCATACAACTTTAGAGGAGCCACTGCTATAGGACAGACAGCAGGTATAAGGCTCCTCCAACAAAACTGTACTGTGAGGATAGTCAGTAATAGGCGTCTCCTTCAAGGGCCTTTACAAACCACACCATGAAAGGGTTATCTGAGGACCAGAGTGGATGATAAATACCTGCATCACAACTAAATAACCTTTTCAAACTATGCAAAACAGGCTTAGAGCATAGCAAGCTATTATAAAACTTGTAGAAATGCTTTACATTACTAAACCTGCTTATTTCCATCATACACAGCAGGAAGAACATGGGGGTATGGATTGGGACCAAAGTGTGCTCAGCATCCCTGGCCCTCTAGGTAGGAGTTGTGTGGCCTCCATCCGCCCTACCCACATGGGTAGGATTGAGTCATGGAGAGGAGGGTAAGGCAATGCTACTTGGGAAGCACCTGTAGAACTGTGGTCACAACAGAGGCTAGAAGGAGGCTCACGGAGAGGAGTGGGCAGACAGGATGGAGGTTGAGTGCAGAAAGGTGTCTATTCTTCCACAAAGCCACAGGTTTCTCTGTACAGGCCAACCATTTCTAGACATTCAGAGATACTTCTGTGACTTTCATAATGAAGTTCATTTTTCATCACTGATAACTTTTATCATTATCTTTGGTTATCAACACTCATTCACTACACACTGTTCTCATTTCTACTAAAGAGGAAGATCCTCCTGAGTTCCCTGTATAGTGCTGGAACCAGTGTATGCAGTAACCACCGCAAACCACCCACACTGGCCCCTCCTACTGCCCTAAATTGTTGGACTATCTGGTATCTAATTTTCTTCTCATTTTGTATTTTAATACAAGGGGACATCTGTGCTCCGAGTGTTTCAGTGAGTGCTGCATGTGCTGTTTCACGGTTTGCAGCCTGTTGTCTTAACAGCGTCTAACAAATCATAGCTCAAGTCATGTGTGCATACCTGTCAACTTACTAATTAATGGCTACCTGCCAACACTGAAAGCGGTAAAAAAGGAAAAACAAATAGAAGAGGGTGGGAAAGAAAAAAACCTGCCACATTTGTGAATTATGGTCATAATATGAAGAATATGTGTTCTTAATACAATGCTACAAATAGCAAGTAGTTTCTGCCTACACAGAGGGAGAGACCCTCAGAATCATTGCCTCTTTATAGACTAGGCGACTTCCTGTCCTCTCCAGCCACAAGGGGAGAGAAAGAGACTTTAGAGATGTGCAAAACTGCCTGAACAGCTGTCACTGGAGACTTGCTCCTCTGTGCAAAGTCTACATTCACTTCATTGCAACATATAACTTACTTTTCCTAGAGTGACCTTTAGAGATGAGGTGGGACACTGTTCCAAGGGCCTCCTCCTCAAAGCCCACACATCTCTCAACCTTTTAAAGCTCCACTTCCTGATAGCATCTGTGGGCAGGGTGGAGAACCACGCCGCATACTGCCCTCTGTCTGGACCCTGGCTGGGTTCTGTGCTCTTGCCTTCAAGCCCAGATGCACATCATCCAGCATCCAAGATGAGAAAGAAAACACACTGTGGGTCCATCCAGCTGGCAGTGAAGTCATGGGAAGACGACTTCTCCCTGCCAGGCAGTCATCACTCGCACTGCCCACTCCAAATGCTTCTGTGGCTAGCAAGGGCTGTGCTCGCAGGTACCTTGTCCTCACAGGGTTTTGGTGGTGAAGGATCTTAGAGCACTGAAACTAATTTTGTACATTACATATTCTGGAATCCTTTTTACTACCCACTTCAAAGCAGAGCGTGGTACAAAGCAGGCACAGTCTGGCATCCCTATCACACTACAGGTTTCAGGATCAGAAACAACCAATACCACTTCTAACCCAGACCACACCAAAGGGCTTTGGGGCCACAAGTGGTTCCATTTGTATTTGGGGCAGCACTCTGACGTCACTTCTGAGACTAAAAGGGCTGCTGCATGAGGCATGCTAAGAAGTGTCCAGCACGTGCACTGAACACAGGCATGAAAGCAATATTCTATAGAACTCTGGGGGTGCTTTCCTTCCTAGGTTCCCTGACTCTTGAAGAGTATGTGTTGCTCACCTGCTGGCTCTTGTCTTATCTGAGCTGTGGCCTTTGGTACGTAGAACTTAAGTGATCCAACTATGTAACCACAGACAGACAGTTTTCTTAGTTCCTGCGTCAGAGTGGTCCGTGAGATGTTAAGGAACACATACCGATGAACAACACAAGCACAGCCACCATTGTTGTTGTGGGGGCAGCTGGGCAGAATATTAGGCTTCTAAAGAAAACAATGCCCAGGTCTCCAGTCATACTCAGGTCCCTACTAACAATGTCATGGCCGAGCTTTATTGCCTGAAAGAGGAACTCAGGACACAGCAGAAACACAGCAAGGCCCCACCTACTGGGTAAAGAGATGTTTATACTATGCATAGAATTCTGAATAGAAGAAACATGAGAAACATTGTTTCATCAGGACCCATTTAGAGCACACTACCACTCACAGTACAGGCAAAGTTTTGAAAGAGGAATTCACTTTAGTGTCTCCCACACTTGTCAAGGCTGAGAAGAGAATGGTCAGTGTATTTGCATAAAACAGGAAAAGTAAAATCAACAGCAGAGACTCTCTTCCAACCCAGTATGTGACAATAGCTAGCTAGCTGGCTTAAGCACTTACTAACCCTATGGTTATCCTCAACCTACTGAAGATTCTGAAAACCGAGAGGTTGAGGAACCTATCCTGAGCCCTGCAGTAAAAAGTGGTGAAGCCAGGGCACAGACTAGGCAATGTGGCTCCAGCACTCACCTCCCTTCTCAAGGCAACGTAGCTTCCAAGCATACTCCTCTGACCGTGGGGACTGAACCCCGAGGAAGCAGGGCAGGCCTTCAGGCCTTCC